GATCCACACCACCAGACTCTCCTCTCATCCTGCCACTGCATTCCTCTTAGCCAGGACTGGATTGACATGGCAAGGAAGTCTCAGTACTGAAGCAACACAGCAACACATTTGACCCTATAAAATTAAGCAACAGTCTTAGCAAACCCGACGAGGAGCATGTACAGAAAAACTTGGCTGTCCTGGATGCTGTGGAGAACAGGGATGCTGTTGAAAAGAAGGGGGATGCTGCTGGAAAAACCCACAACTGTGTTCTTGGTTTGTAGATAGATGATATCTGGCATGTGTAAAATAAATCAAACTGACCGGTCCCAGAAAATGCTGTTGTTCAGCATAGTTTGCATTGAATTTTTAGGGAGTGGGATATAGTAAGTAACCGAGCTTCTTCTAGTGAGCATGCAATAGCAACACTTGGAAGAAAAAAACATCTCTAAAGGCTTTGAGTCTGGCAGTAAATGGAAATGCACTTGTTGAACTTTGATTGTGGGACTGGGTGCCAGGTTCGCTTTCATTTCTGACAGCCCTTGAGGTCTGCATCGGACATTGTTTGATCTCATGAGCCAAGGCTGTTCTCGGTGGCAGCCCTCCTTCTGGTTTGCAGTGCTGAGATGGTGTACGGTGAGCGGCGGGACGTGGCTTACAGGGCATGTTTTCGGTCCCAGCTCTGCCCCAAAGGTCCCTTTGTTCCAGCGCTCAGCTGCAGCGCGGGTGGTTGCTTGCCGCATGATGCGAAAGGGAACAGAGATTTCTTTGTTGTCCGGGGCCCGGCTGCCCTACCGGCAGAAATCAAGCCGAAATCAGCAATTTCCATCCCTTTCCCTTTCCAAATCTGGCTACCGTTCTGCTGGCGCACCTGAGTGTGAATTTACCGGTGCTGCGCATGTGTGCGGTGCTTCGGGCTTGTCATCCTGGTGGCAAAAGAGAAACCTTTCGTTTCTCCTTACTAACATCTTAATAGCACCGCCTGAAGTTAAAAGCCATAATTTCGGAGGGGATACCTGCTCAGATCGGCACTTGCATAAGTGCTCATTAAGCGTGGGGAAGTAACCAAGTGGAGGAATAGGGCGTCTCACTGAGCTGTGGATACTGAGGGTCCCTCTGCTTCGAGCTGGGGACAGAAGTTTTTGCTAAACACTGCGTTACGCCAAGAAAATCACCCTGAGCTGCTGACTGGCATCAGCAGCGTGTGGGGCTGGACTGACGCTGCTGACATTTTAACTCTACGCCCTGGCTAGCGGAAAGCACGCTCAGCACTCTTTTCGGGAAGCAGCCGCCGGAGCTGGCGTGGAGCAGGGCGCAGAGCCCCTTTTGCGGCGGGATGGGGTTGAACGTGGGCTGTGCTTGTGCTGCCTTCGCACATGTGTTGCTGAGCTCAGCGATGGGCCACTGTCAGCAACAGGTACTGCTTTTTCCTTGCATAGCCTAAGCTGAAGGAACAGGATCATTGTGGTAGCGGGGACCGAGCGGCAAAAGGAAGTGGAAAGGAAAAATCAATAAAAATCAGCTTTTTTTTTTCCCTTTTCAGGCCAGGTGTGCTGAGACTCAGAGATGAAGGCTCAAGTATGTTGCTTAAAATACTTCAGGATATTATATTTGGAAGAAGCAAAGACTTATTTCTAGAATAATTCCCATTGCTACTGAGATTTAATTGGCTTTCAAGCAAGATTTGGCAGATACAAGTAAAAACCTAAACTATACACAGATTTGCCACAATGCCATTTTTCAATTGTCAGCCTTGCCACAGGACATCTATAAATACTTATAGCATGTCTGGTTATTACGTAGTTGGGTAATTTAGCACGTTGTAGTTTTTACAGACAGCACTGTCAATTTATTTTAATAGCCCTTTCATTCTGTGACTTTATTTTCCATATTTTAAGGGCCTAAATATTTAAAGAAGTGGATAAAAGGGTTAAGCAGGGCATGAAACGGAGCATGTATGGAAAGAAAGGGGAAAGGATGGTGGGGGCCATTGAGTGGCGGGAAGTAGAGGAAGGTTTGGGTTGGGATGCAGGAGCCAGGACAGGTCCTGCGGGATCTGTCCAGACTTTCTGTCTGGTTGGGGGAAACATGGGCAGTGCCTACGCTCCAAAGCTTAAATGGGACAGGAGACAGCAGAGGCAATTTCTGCCCTCCGTGGGATTTGCCTCAGGGTATTTTATAGTGGCTTTAGATGCCTGCCAGCATCTTTACTGTGTGCTGTGCCTGCATGCAGCTGCTGAGCCTTCTGCCTCCTGCTTCTTTCTGCTCATCCATATTCAGTGTCAGCCGGCTGCTTTCTGGAAAGGAGGAAATCAGAGCATGCTGGTGATTTTTTTTTTCTGGAGCAGCCACTCGTTGGCACGGAGAAGGGAAAAATGCAGCACTTGCAGTGCAATAAATACATCGGTTCTGTGGAGAGCCTGGTGAATGTCATGGAAATAAGGCTTTGAGCAGCAAAATCAGCAGGTTTTCTGCTCTCAAAACTTTCCACTCGGCATCGCTGTAGTTGAGAGGGAATTTTGCAAGGTACCTGTTAGCTCTTGTGGCAGATGACTGCATAGTATCTCAGGCTGCTGCTGAACATACATGTTCCTGGGAGAACACATCCATTTGAAAAGACAAATTTTCTTGTCTTTGTCTTGTCTTGTCTTTTTTTTTTTTAATCTTCTTTTTTTTTTGGTAATGCCTGCATGACTTATTTTTTGCTTTCTTAAAATGTTTCTTTCAATAAATAACTGAGATAAATCTGCTTGGTTCGAAAAGAACCAGCAAGTTTTGCTAACCTGGTGCCAGTCTGCGTGCTGGGGTGGGCCTGCAGCCAAGCTAGCATTTCAGTTCAGGTCGGATTTGGGCAAAACAGAGTAACTAGTTATTCTCTGCAGCCTTCTCTCCAGGTTTGCGTTGGTTTGGACTCTGGCTCTGAGGGCGGTGGGGCTTGGAGCAGTGCTAGGACAGCTCTCAGCATGCTGGTTGAATGCACACGGGCAGCTGCAGCAGAGAGAGCCAGGTCTGCTCCGGGAAAATGAAGTATCTGCTTTTCAGCAGATGTGTGCACGCTACTGCAAAGGGCTCCTGAGCGTTTTTATCCCTGTACTGTGAAAACTCATGGCCACAGCTATGGGCTGCAGGAAGAAATTGTTAGCCACACTGGGACTGCCGGCGTGGTGCTGCTGGAGCTGGGAGTTACTTTTCAGAGCTGTCGTAAGCGCGTTGGGTTTCTTCCTAACTTTCACCAGACCTTTCCAATTACTCCGGAGCTTGTGGGGCCCCAAAAGAAGTGAAGTTTTCTTAACCATGGCATGACTAAGGATCTCCAGCAAGATGATGCTGTCCCTCTTCTTGGGCCAGTAGGAGTGAGATGTGACCAGCAGTCCCTGCCCTATGGAGTTTAAGAGTTGGGGTGAATGGGACTGAGCAGCCCTGGAAAGAGAGACCCGGAGGCAAAGTCACATCCGCAGGGTCATCATGGACTAGAGACAGAAGCACATCTTCTGTTTGTCCTTCACAGTGCCCTTTTTGGGTAGATAGATCCATGTTTATTTGCTTAAACACGGATTAAAGTTGCTCGTTTAGAGGTAATTAAAGGGTGATGCTGCTTTAAAACTGGTCTGTCGCAATCACAGGGTAATGCCTGCAGTGAGTAAACTGGCTTGATGTGTCATTTTCCTTGGACAAGGACTTTCTCTCCCCGGCCTCTAATAGTGGTTTTGGGCAGCCTCACTGCATTTCTCCCTGCAAGGTGGAGGGAGCAGGTCCTGCTAGGGGATGCCGTCAAGGCCAAGAAACTTGGTTGTCACTTCTTACTCCATTATCAAAATAGTTTTATGTGGAAATGTGGTGAGATTGGAGAGACCCTAGGTGAACACGTGACAGCCTTTGTGAACCTGCAACGCTAAAGTCCCCCTGCAGGCCCTCCCCACCACCACCACCACGCATCTGCCCCATTGCTGCCATTCCCAGCCCTGACCAGGCAGGTCCATGCCTGCAGGTTCCCAGCAGCTTCCTCGTGAGGTGGAAATCCTCATCCTACGCTGTCTGCCTGGCTTGGGTTTCAGGTTGGAGCCTCACATTGGGGCAAGTGCTGGTGGAAACATGCTTCGCTGTGCCAGCAAGAGACTGAGCTGAACTGCTGAACACAGTCATCATCTCCCTCCTCTGGAGCTCGTGGTCTTTAGGTGATGGCAGTGGCAGGAAAACCTGTATGTGAGGAGCAGCTGGGACTTGCACTTGGGATGTCTTGTTGACCCTGTGTGCTGACCCTGGGTCTCCTTCACCCCGTGGGCCACCTGAGAGCCTGTCCCCCCTTGGCTGGTGGTGCCACCATCACCAGGTATCCTCTCCTTCTTTCTTGCCTTGTCCTGCCAGAGGCGAGAAGAACATCCGGGCAGGGAACATGATCTGTAGGCAGCACCTATGTTGGGTCTTTGTGTGCAGATGTGGCTGGCAGAGAGAAGAGAGGTGGGTGTCAGGTGGTCAGTCCAGCTCTGTTTTGGTGGGAAACCCTTAGGGCTTTCAGCAGACGTGAGTGGGGTCTGAAATCGATGAAGATTTAAAGAGGTTAAGTGAAGAAGTGTGTTTTCCTCACATGGGTTGCAACAAACAAACTTACTTTATGCAATAAGTAGCAGAAACTAGTGGTCTGTGGACAGCCCTGAGCACCACTTACTACCACCCAGGCTTTTGGGAGGGTCAGTAAGTGGTTTTAAATGTATATAAAGTTTGTGGGAGTGAACTGGTGAAGGAAGGAGATGTCACTGTAGACAAACAGAGCTGTCGTTGCCCAGTTTACTTTTTTGCAAAAGGCTTTCGCCGAGAAGGTTTGATGACCATCATCACCACTGTTAACAGCATCTCTCAGGGTGGGTGATGCCAATGTCACCTACATCTTTGGGGCTACAATGAACTGCCTGGTCCTAAGCTGCTGAGCCACCATGCTGAATTACAGGGGCGGTCCCCCAGCCAGTGACGCCAACCACTTCGCCAGGTCCAGGTTCTGACCTCTGTCTCCCTCTCTCTTCCAGGCACCTGTGTGAAGTGCAGCAAGGGCGTGTATGGAGCAAACCAGGCTTGCCAGGCCATGGGCAACCTCTACCATGACGGCTGCTTCACCTGCGGAGCCTGCAGTGAGTACCCCCGGCCTGGCCTGCTGCCGGAGCAGGGCCCTGGGGCAAGCTCCTCGGGCTTAAGGTTCTTCTGGTTTAAAGGGGGAGAGAAAAGGGGGTGTTTATTGAATTATCGGCCAGCTGGAGTCTGCTGCAGCTGTATGTCTTGGTGCTTGGTGGTTGCTGTTTGTTTTTGAACGCATTCTTGCAAGGCTTTGCAGAAAAGATGCTTTGGATTGTGCCGGCCGCTGGCCTTCTGGTATGGGGGGCAGTTGTTTTCATTCCTCTGCCTCTCCATTACAGCTACGTTTTGTTTTGTTTTGTTTTGTTTTTAATTATAAGAGTATTTTTTTTCAAAGTGGCAGCAAATATGCCTGGTCTGGCATTCAGTGGTTTGGTTTTTTCATTTGTCACATCAGACTTCACAGCCACCCTGGCCTTTCAGCTGGCACACCCCAGGGAGAGCCGCCGTGCTGGCGCAGTGCCGAGGGTGCAGGCAGGGGGCCAGCACCGGCAGCGGGCTCTGCGAGCGCCACAGATGCCTTCTCCGGTGGAGCTGCTGCATGGTCACAGAATCACAGAATGGTCTGGGTTGGAAGGGACCTCTGGAGATCATCTAATCCAACCCCCCTGCCAGAGCAGGGTCCCCTACAGCAGGCTGCACAGGAAGGCGTCCAGGCAGGTTTTGAATGTCTCCAGAGTGGGACACTCCACAACCTCTCTGGGCAGCCTGTTCCAGTGCTCTGCCACCCTCAAAGTAAATAATTCCCTCCTCAAGTTAAGGTGGAACTTCCTATATTCACGTTTGTGCCTGTTACCTCTTGTCCTATCACTGGGCACCACTGAAAAAAGACTGTTCCCATCCCCCTGGCACCCTGCCTTTAAGTATTTATAAGCATTAGTAAGATCCCCCCTCAGTCTTCTTTTTTCTAGACTAAAAAGGCCCAAGTCCCTCAGCCTTTCCTCAAAAGAGAGTGTTCCAATCCCCTAATCATCTTTTCTAGCCCTTTGCTGGACCCTCTCCAGCAGTTCCCTGTCCTGGTCAGTTCGGCGACGGTGTTTTCACTGCATGCGTTAACCTTTACTTGCTGTAATTGTTTGTGCCCTTCTGAGGGACCTCCGGTCAAAGCATTTACGTGCAGGAATGACCCAGGTTACCCATCTTGCTTGTCCTTCCTCCAGAGAAATGGAGCCGTGCCCTGAGACGAAGGGCACGTCTCTGCTGGCTCGCTTGCTGCTTATTGCAGGGAGGAGGCTGGTTATTGTGCCAGCGGTATCAGGCTGGGAGCAGGGATGCGGAGCCCTGTGAAACCTGCCCGGGAAGCGGGGTAGATAGTTCAGCCGGCCCTGCTGAGTTCCCCGCTGCTCGTCAGACCCCCATCTGAAGCATGCTGGAGCCTATGGCATGCTGCAGCGTATGGATCCTCCTGAGCGGCTTTTCGAGGGGGTCGGTGGTGGAGCTGGGGTGTGGAACGGGCCGCTTGAGTTCAAGTCGTGCCTGGGTTTGTAAGACACTGGTTTTTTTATTTTGTTATGTTTAACCCTAGGGCTAGCAGGATGTTTTCAGAAATGTAGCTGTATATGTGGCGGTTTGGTTTTCCCAGATGAGTCTTAGGGTTTTTCTCCTGCGTTGTATTTAGAGTTGTAAACTCATCAGGGCTGCCTGTGTTTTATTTGGAGCTGTAAAGTGGGAATAAATATAGAAAGATGTGTGTGCTTTTTAATAATAGCTGAACCTTGAACTCTGCTCATTTCCCAGCTGTCGGACACCAGCTGCCTTGCCTCACCTATGTTTTCAGTAGAGCACTTCACCGTCATCTGACTGAAGATGGGAAAACTGGAAAGAAAAAGTGATGTTCGCACGTGGTGGCAGTTTCCTAAAGGCTCAGAAGTCAGCAGCTCTCTCTTTTGTCCTCTCTTATAAATTAATTCAAAATCTTCTTGTGCAGACAGGGTTCCTGGCTGCAGCCTGGGCTTTGCTTCAGGGACCTGTCACCCTCCGTGGCCAGGCGGCCTCCAAACTGCCCTTGCACACAAAGCTCCTGTTAAAAATAATCCAGCAGCAGGGTCGAGCTGTCTTAAATTTCTAAAATTACTACTGTGCAACTGGTGCTTTAGAAAGAAACACTTTCAATCCTCCTTTTAGAACGAATTTTACCATCTTCATTTGGCATGCAGCGCTAGAGAGGTATTTGCGGTTGCAGAGGTATCAGTGGTTACTTCCATTTATGTTTGTTAGTGTTTGGTTAAAAAATAGCTTAATCCCATTTTTAATGAGGTGGGATGGTGAGGGCTGAAAGAATAGCTATTTGCTGCTTATTCTAAAAGACAACCCTTTCCAAAGGTTTCCAATGCAAGATGAAAAGGTTTGTGTGTCAGGTGCGACTTAGGAAGATGGAAAAAATCTAGGTTTAGTAAAGTGAAGCCCATTTTCTCTCTTACCCAGGCTGTAACTGAGGAATCTCCTTGGAGATGTGCTGGCACAAAGGGTTCAAAAGGAAAGTAAAAGAAAAGCTAGTAAAAATGCAAGTTTAAAAAAAAAAAGGAAGGAGGGGAGTAATAATAATATTTCCTTGAGTAGGAAATACTGTATTTCAGTACAGTACAGAGGAGTGTAAGTGAAAGCCTGTTTCAGCTTGTTATGTGCAGGAGAGTAATTACTTGTGAAAGCTCAAGTCCTTCCCATTGGGGCAGCGGCCGTACTAAGATGGGAGCTGGATGCAGCGGTGGCCGTCACGGATGGATGGAGAGGAGGGTGTGTGGTGGCATGGGACTTCTGGTACTCAAAGGAGAGGCAGTGCTGAAGGGAGGCCTCCACAGTAGCGGTGTTTCCCTTACGTGCACGTACCTCTACCAGTGGTGAGGCTCAGAAGAAACCCTCCAGCGCAGGGGGTTGGTTTCCTGTGCTGCCGCTGTGGTCTTGCAGGGCGCTTTGTGCAGGAGATGTTTGCTCCAGGGGGCTTGAGAGGGCATTTTTATTCCCACCACCACCACCCCTACCCCAGCAGCGTGCTTGTAAAGGCGCAGCAGGGCTGACTTTCTGATTCATCAAGCCTCTTTGCATTGCAGCTGCTTAACTGGTGCCTGGGGTGGTACATGCCGTCCTGCCTTGCGCTCAGGGAGGAAATGTACCCGAGGGGAATCCCCCCCCAACTTTTACAGACCGAGGTAATTTCCCAGTCCCCCCCGGACCATCCACCGCAAGGTGAATGAAGGGCACGCACAGCCCTGTCGTTACCCAGAGAGAACGCATGCCTCCCTGCAGGCTGGCTGCCGTCTGTGTCGCTGCGGTAAATATGATGAGACCATTTTATCTGCCAGAAAAATAAATGTTTGTCTGGACGGTGTTGCCTGCCTAGCTGCAGAGCACGTCTTGAGCAGCCTATGTGGAAACTGTGGTTTCCAGCTGAAAAGTAAGTAGTGCTGTTAAGGTCAAGAGGAGTTCGTCTTGGACACCATCCAGTACAGTCTTGTCTTTGAGAAGTCAAGGTTGCTCGTGATTTCAGTCCTAAGATTTCTGCTCTGGTGGAACGCTAAATGTCTCCGTTCCAATAAATAAAATATACAAAATTACCTATTAAGGTAAAGCATATTGTCCTCCAGATATTTATATCCGCTGTCCTGCTGTTTTCATTTTAGTGAAGATTTCTAATTTTGCTTGTAGTTGGATTTGTGTCCAAATGTGCATTAGTTTCCCAGATACAGAAAACCAAGAGGGTCTAAGGAGGGGAGGGGGGGTTGATATCTCATGGTGCCAAATTTCCTACACTCTCTGTTTCCTGATACACATATGTTCAGAGATAAATGATATAGCAATTTGTTGAGCAGAGCTACGCATACATTACAGGGTTCAGTTGTCAGGAAAAAAATGTACTGTTTTATCTGAGCCAGTGGCATGTAATGCAGAAAATTTGGCTTAGAGGTCAAAACAACAGATTTAGAATGATTACTTTGGCATAAATGTCTCATTTATCTTCTTGTTTGTTACAGGGCAGAGACACAAACAAGGCAGCATTTTGCAGAGAGGGAAAGGAAAAAAATTCGGGCTCTTTCTGTGGGATTAGTAATAAATTATATTTGCTGTACAGGAGGGCCGTGAAAGTAGGTTAACAAAAAAAAAGTCCTCGAAACTCATACGGCTGTTTCCTGCAAGCTCAAGGTGTCTGTTTCCGTCTTGGTGGCTTTTTTTTTTTCAGTTTGTTGGACGAACAGTTGTAGTTATCAAATGGTTTGTTATACATTAACCATTTAAGTTAAATCACCTGTTTGTACCTCCTCAGAACACAAAAAAATGCAGGTGTTTCCAGATGTTGATATTTATTGTTTAGGTAGTAAGGAGACCTTATAAATGATACAGACTTAACTAGACAGTATTGCTCTAACTTATTGTGGTGTTTCAGTGTTTTCACTAGGATTCAGCCAGGCTTATATCCAACTGCCGCAGATTGCCTGGAAAAGACCTTTTTAGCTTTGCTGGCAGTGTAATTTAGAGCATAAGGGTCTTGTACTTGAGCCACTTGGTCCTCAGAGGAAATCTGAAAGCTAAAAAAGTGCAAGGGAAGTGTCAGAGATGACTGTGAAGGAAATCGGCAGGCGAGGAAGGAAGTCAGAAAGAACGAACTGATTGCAAGGTGGTTTGAAGGAGGGTTCGATGTTGCACTGAAGCAGAAGGTCCAAAAGGAGGACCAGATCTGTGACTGCTTATTACAAAGAGGTGGAAACCTTGCATGTTTGCCAGATTACAGAATTCGACCTTTGGCATGTCAACATTACTACATTACTTTCTTTTTCTTTTTTTATTGTAAGCTCCGATTAATGTTGATGTCTGTGTAAGGGTAACAGGCTGCTGTTCCAGTGGCAGAGTTTGAAATAACACGAGCTGGCTGTCTCTTGCCACCCTCTGGGGATATATATGGTGGGGTTTTTTAATATTTCACAGTGTAGTTGTGTTTAGAGGTATCAAAGCTCATTTACGAATCAAGGTAGCTAAGGTATCGAAGCAGTGTAACTGCGAGCATAGC